CAACACTTGAAGTCGCTACAGTCCAGAGAGAAACCAAGATCAACTTTCAGTCGTCGAGCAGTATGCCAGTTCTGCAAGAGACCTGGTCACTTTATCAAGGACTGCTATAAGCGTCATCAAGCTAACAGAGAGTTTGTGCATACCTCTGCGCACAATGCTCTCATCCATCAAGCAGCCAGTCCAAATCTGAACTCTAGTCTTCGGAATGACACTAACCCTAAGTGTCCTCCGGAAGGAAATCAAGTCTCCACCCATTACGTTCAGTCACATTTTGACTGTTCATGCCACCATCCAGTTTCTTCCGAGTCTACCGATCTCGAGGGATCGAGAAAGGTTGACTTTTCATCTTTCATTGCAGATGCTGTCATTAGCAAACCAGGTGATCCGTTGTCTCAGCGGAATATCACCGTCCTAACAGACACAGGAGCGTCACAGTCACTTCTTTTGAAAAGCTCAATGGACATTACACCGGAGACGAACACCGGGAATGTTTCCATTATCCAAGGAATGGGGGCAGAATCTGCTGTAGTCCCTCTACACAGGTTTTTCCTGAAACATCATCTCGTCGAAGGTGAAGTCATTTTAGGTGTGATAGATAGTATTCCTGTCCCAGGAGTACACCTGCTTCTAGGGAATGACCTTGCGGGAAGCAAAGTATACCCCTATACGGTTCAAAACCCTTTGTCAACAGTTCCAGATAATGATAATGAGCTGTATCCTGCATGTGTGGTGACAAGAAGCCAGACCAAACAATTGGCTGACATAGCGCACGAACCACACCTACCATCATCGTCGGGAGATCCATCTCCCAAACTGGAGTCTATGCTTCCAGAGAATACAAGCCTGAGCTTACCCCTGATGATATCTCAGGAAGACATCATTAAAGCTCAACAAGTCGACGCGGAACTCAAAGCTATGGTCGAAAAATCACTCTCAGCTGACGATGGGGAGTATTTCTCCGAGAACGACCTCTTCTTTCGTCGCTCTGTACCAGTGGATGCCTCACCTGCCGAACCATGGTTGGGTAAAAACCAGCTGTGGGTCCCTCCACCTTATCGGCATGAAATGCTGAAACTGGCACATGACCATCCGATGTCAGCGCACCCAGGAGTCAAGAAAACTCTGGCAAAAATCAAAGAACTGTTTTTTTGGCCAAAAATGAAAAATGATGTGTCGCGTTACTGCAAAAGTTGCACGAACTGTCAGTTGGCCGGGAAGCCCAACCAGAAAATTCCTAAGGCCCCTTTGAATCCAATACCTGTGTTAGAACCCTTCTCCAAAATCATCATGGACTGTGTAGGTCCCTTGCCTAAAACCAAGGCGGGCAACGAGTACCTACTTACCTTTATGTGTTCAAGTACCCGTTTTCCCGAGGCGTTCCCCTCACGGAACATTAGGGCAAAGACTGTAGTCAGAGCCATGACCCGGTTCTTCACTACCTTTGGATTACCTAGAATCGTTCAAACAGACCAAGGCAGCAACTTCACCAGTCACCATTTTCAGGAAGCGCTAGCCAAGCTAGGCGTTACCCACGTCACCAGCTCAGCATATCACCCTCAGTCTCAAGGTGTACTTGAGAGGTTCCACCAAACCCTAAAAACCATGCTGAGAACGTTCGCTAAAAGTAATGCCCAGTGGGATGAAATTGTTCCATGGATTATTTTCGCCGCTAGAGACTGTGTTCAGGAATCTCTAGGTTATTCTCCTTTTCAGCTTGTGTTTGGACATTCTGTCCGTGGTCCCCTGAAGCTGATCCACGAGCGTTGGACAGGTACCAGTAACCATCCAGTGGGGAACTTTGACGATTTTCACGTTCGACTGAAAGCCGTGTGCGAAATGGCTCACAAGAACCGAAGAAAGGCCCAAGTGAGAATGAAAGGACTGTATGATAAGAGTTCTCGTATACGAACATTCCATCCAGGCGAGAAAGTTCTTGTGCTCGTGCCTAACTTGAACAATGCGTTATCCTTAAGATACTCTGGACCCTTTACGGTGCATTCAAAATTAAGTGATTTGAACTATGTTGTCAATACGCCAGTCAGAAGAAAGAAACAGACAGTGTATCATGTTAACTCACTGAAAAAGTATTATGATAATTGTAACAATTTTCAGTCCACAGCTAAAATTACTTTACCTGTATGTTCAAATGTTACTGATGATGTGATCCATGATAAATTGAAACCCCCAAAATTGGTAAATTCTTCCTTGTTAGATCATTTAAATGACCACCTTATGCATTTGTCCACTGAGGAAAACCATAAATTGTCTCATTTATTTGAGACCTTTCCCTCTATTTTTGGGGATGTTCCCAAAGAAGCAAAGGTGCCACCTCATGATGTAGATGTAGGTGATGCAAAACCTGTCAAACAACACCCCTATAGAGTTAACCCAGAAAAAGCTGTTTTGATAAAAGATGAAATTGACTACATGATCAAGAATGATATCATTGAACCCAGTTTCAGCAATTGGAGTTCACCCTGCCTTTTAGTCCCGAAAGACGGTGGATCTTTCAGGTTTGTGACTGACTTTAGGAAGGTGAATGCGCTCACCAAGGCTGATTCTTACCCCTTACCTCGAATAGAGGACGTTATTGATGAAGTTGGTCAAGCTAAGATAATTTCCAAAATTGATTTACTGTCAGGATACTGGCAAATCCCCTTATCTGACCGTGCAAAAGAAATATCTGCTTTTGCAACCCCTAATGGTTTTTATAGATACAAACGTATGCCTTTCGGTATGCGAAATGCTGGTCAAACTTTCCAGCGTATCATTAACTCTGTCATTGCTGACATTGACCAATGTGAGGCCTACATAGATGATATAGTTGTATTTTCTGATACTTTTGAAGAGCATATTGTTCAGCTGACTAACCTTTTTAGAAAATTGTCTGAAGTTAATTTTACTGTAAACCTGCATAAAAGTGAGTTTTGTAAAGGTTCAATTACCTATTTGGGTTATCAAGTGGGAACTAACCAAGTTAGGCCCATTGAAGCTAAAGTAGATGCTTTTGTGAAGTTGCCTCCTCCCAAAAATTGTAAAGAAATTAAAAAGTTCCTTGGGATGGCAGGTTACTATAGGCGGTTTTGTCAAAACTTTTCAGCTGTAGCTGAACCTCTTACTGCATTATTGAAAAAGTGTGTTGAGTTTGAATGGTCAACTAAATGTCATGAAGCTTTTTTAACCATTAAGTCATTTTTATCTAATGCTCCTGTTATGGCTGCACCAGATTTCAGCAAGCCTTTTAAACTTGCCATTGACGCTAGCAACTTAGCCATTGGCTCAGTTTTATTTCAGGAAGACAACATGGGGATTGATCATCCAATAGCCTTCTTCTCTAGAAAGTTAAATGAGAATCAACAGAATTACTCCACTATTGAAAAAGAAGCTTTGGTTTTGTCCTTACAACATTTTGAAGTCTATGTCACTTCTTCTATCAATCCAGTCATGGTATTTTCTGACCATGATCCCCTTAAATTTACCTCTAAGTTAGGACAAAAGAATCACAGAATATTGAGATGGTGTTTATATTTCCAAAATTTTAATCTGGAAATTTCCCATATTAAGGGAACTGATAATGTTGTGGCTGACTGTTTGTCAAGGATGTAACATTTTATTACCCACATTGACCATGTGACATGTTTTGTGGTTAGTTAAGACCATATAACAAGTGGTTTGTTTGGGTGACACTCACATTCATGTGGTCTGAGTTTTGAAGTTTTTCCAAAACTACAATCCTGTTGAATATTTTGTTTATTTTCAGGTGAACCTTATTTAAATGTGGTTTTTATTTTATGTAATCTTATATGATAAAATGTTTCATGTGACTCAGTTGATATTGTAGCTAGTCATTGAAATAAAGGATTTACCCTGTCGGGTTTACCACTTTTAATATCCACATGGAAATATTGTAATACCCCTTTCTGAGGGACTTTGATGTATTATTATTTTTAGAAAGGGTTATTCCCCTTTCAAGAATTGTAAAAGATTAAGTTAGTTCCCTTTTATTTCCAGGGATGTTTTCATCTAGTATTAAGATTTTGGTTGGCTACATTTGTAGAACATTTCTTTTTATTTTATGCCAGATTGGTTCCTTATGTAGGTTTTTGTGGAACCTATCTGTCACTTCCAAAAGGGAGGGGATGTGACCTACTGAGGTCTGGTTATTTTTAGTTACATTTGTTATAATACCATATATGGTCTTGTGGTGCCATGACCGGTTTTTTCCGTTGTCTTACTAAGAGAGTCTTAAGACTCAGAAATTTTCCATCAAGAGATGATTGATTGATTCAGACCAGATGACCACCCCAACCAATGGCTTTACATTTTGAAGGTGACCTTCCATGTTGCCTAAGTCTATAAATAGACCGCCCACAGGTGTCTCGGCGCAGTTGATGACCAGACGTCTTTGAGTGAGCATAAGTCCTGTGTGTTGCCGTGAAGTATTAAATAATTTATAGAGCATATTCCTATTTTACTTGTGGCTAAGTAATACTTTATGCTTATAGCAACGTTGTGTATACTGTGGTAATTTTCCTGAAGTGTTAAAAGCTGTGATAGTGTTTCATTTTATTATTTCCCACAATTTGTAAGTTGGGTTTTGGTTCATTCTGTGAATATATTTTATCTTGTATAAATCTAGTGTTCTGCCACGATTTTGTGCACTCATCAAATGTTATATGTAGATTAAATGTATTGTTGACATCAGTAGTTTTTCTAGTGTTTACCCTAGACATTAAGTACGAGTTCTAGTTAAACTATTGTGTGTCAGCTTTCTTTTATTTAGGCTTGTTGCCATCTGTGTGTAATCAGTTAAACGAATCCGGGAGCGTTCGCCATCTATCTGGCTGATAGATTGGTGATACGTTACACCCTTCCCTTCATATCCCGAGGTCAAGAAACATATGAACTCTACTTCATCTGCCCAATGGATCGCTAGGTCTAGGGATGATGGATTCTTAACATAATGGACGTCTGAAATGACAGTGTCGTAGTAGACTTACAACAGAACAGTTCGTCGGTCCCATCTTTGCACTCTTTCTTGCCATTGCATTTTAATTTCTCTGTGATGCATCCACCGTCGCTACATCTGAATGCACATTTTGCTGTGGGGTAAATAAAATAGAAGACTTACTGCCTTATCTATTACATTATTTGTGTTAATTAACTAAATACAAACTTTACTTCATCCGGTCATTTTCCTTTATCTTGTGATGTTAGAATTCATGGCAGAATTTACGTCTACAGGTAAGCTAACACACATATGGGACTATGTGACCTTGTGGTAGAGCGCTAGACTGCTAATCCGAGTTGCTCGAGTTCTAATCCGGGTTCGAGTCAGTAGATAAAACCACGAGTCCACCCAACTTTAAAGGGAACCTAACTCACGTTAAGAAAAAGTTAAAGCGGCTGTGCTTAGTGCTGACCACGCTATTCCATAATATTTACAGCAACAGCCGAACTCTATTATATTTGATTCATGAACCGTTAGGTTAAAAAAAGGGATGTGGGAAGTCTAGGTAACTATTACGTACACGGTAGACTACCGTTCATTTCACTTACAATAATTCCGTACGCGTAGACTACAGTTCATCTCACAATTATTACGTACGCGGTAGACTACAGTTCATCTCATTTACAACAATTCCGTACGCGGTAGACTACAGTTCATCTCACAACAATTCCGTACGCGGTAGACTACAGTTCATCTCACAACAATTCAGTACGCGGTTGACTTCAGTTAATCTCACAACAATTCAGTACGCGGTAGACTACAGTTCATCTCACTTACAACAAATACGTACGCGGCAGACTACAGTTCATCTCACAATTCCGTACGCGGTAGACTACAGTTCATCTCATTTACAACAATTACGTACGTGGGAGACAACAGTTCTTCTCACTTACAACAATTCCGTACTCGGTAGACTACAGTTCATCTCCCAACATTTCCGTACGCTGTAGACTACAGTTTATCTCACAATTATTTCGTACGCGGTACACTACAGTTCATCTCACTTACAATAATTCCGTACGCGGTAGACTACAGTTGATCTCACAACAATTCCGTACGAGGTAGACGACAGTTCATCTGACAACAATTCCGTACGCGGTAGACTACAGTTCATCTCACTTACAACAATTCCGTACGCGGTAGACTATTGTTCATCTCACAACAATTTCGTACGCGGTAGACTACAGTTCATCTCACTTACAACAATTCCGTACACGGTAGACTATTGTTCATCTCACAACTATTCCGTACGCGATAGAGTACAGTTCATCTCAATTACAACAATTCCGTACGCAGTAGACTACAGTTCATCTCACTTACAACAATTCCGTACGCGGTAGACTATTGTTCATCTCACAACAATTCCGTACGCGGTAGAGTACAGTTCATCTCAATTACAACAATTCCGTACGCAGTAGACTACAGTTCATCTCACTTACAACAATTCCGTACGCGGTAGACTATTGTTCATCTCACAACAATTCCGTACGCGTTATACTACAGTTCATCTCACTTACAACAATTTCGTACTGTGGGAGACTACAGTTTATCTCACTTACAACAATTCCGTACGCAGTAGACTACAATTAAACTCACAATTTAGTACGCGGTAGAATGCAGTTCATCTCACTTACAACAATTCAGTACGTGGTAGACTGCAGTTCATCTCAGTTACAACAATTCCGTACGCGGTAGACTACAGTTCATCTCACTTACAACAATTTCGTTCGCGTCAGACTGCAATTCATCTCACAATAATTCAGTACTCGGTAGACTACAGTTCATCTCACTTACAACAATTCCGTACGCGGTAGACTACAGTTCATCTCACTTACAACAATTCCGTACGCAGTAGACTACAGTTCATCACACAACAATTACGCACGCGTTACACTACAGTTCATTTCACTTACAACAATTCCGTACGCGGTAGACTACACTTTAACTCACATCAATTCCGTACGCGGTAGACTACAGATCATATCACAATTCCGTACGCAGTAGACTACAGTTCATCTCACTTACAACAATTCTGTTCGTCGGATCCATCCATACAGTTCGAAATGCCGTCACATTTCTTGTGTAGCCCAATACATTTTCTATCTCGGCGGCAATTAAAAGCGTAAGGCTTACAACTTGCTGTAAAACAAATATCATTATTATTAAAATGTTTTGTTTAACTTAAAATAACTGCTTATTTTATTTGAAAGCCAATTTAAAAAAAAAATTTTCCAAATTAGTTTTATTCATGTATTTGTATTTGACTATACTCCAACATATGTGAAAGGAGCTTTAAAGGGACAACAAAGCACCGTATCAGTACCGAAGTTGTGATGGTCTCGACTACTTTTCCTAAAGCCTATTATGAAAAAATCAAGGGAGAGTATTCAAATTATACACGCTTTCTATTGTATTTTTTTCGTAAAACAAAAAGAAGTAAACGTACATAAAACCGACATTATTGTAATTATATTCTTCTTACTTATTTGTAGAATAAAGGATAATACAGAATAGTAGTTAAACCAATACAAAAAAAACGAAAATTTTACACTATAAAATCACAATAGATTGTGGGCCCCTAAGCAGTGCTATAAAGAAGCAAAAGTCGTCTTATTATCTAGCCACCTCTCGCGCGATGGACTTTTTTATTTCCAAAAGAATTTTGCCGGCTACAGCATGTGTTTGAATATAGTAGAAAGAGGACTCGGAATGGTGTCTATAGAATAAAGATAATCCAGTATTCTATTTATAAAACAATCATGAAGTCAAACATGCAAGAACATGTTTTTGTTACTTACTATTAAAAAAAAATGATTATGGTCGGCTGTGGGCCCCTAAACGGCTTCGTCCCCCCCCCCCCCTGCATTGAGCGGTCTGGCGGCACTGTAGTTCCGCCCCTGTGTTTGGTGTGATTTTTCTCTAGTTCTACTATCTGTCCAAGAAAGTTATTTATAGATCTAGATCTAGAATCTAGGTCAAACCAAAGATTTATTAGTTAAAAATACAATTTAAAAAACTAGACTTAAGAAAACCAGTCGTAGATCTGGAATATAGATAACTAGCTGCATCTCGTGCTTCGCCACGTTAAATCTTTTTTAAATGTACAAACTTGGGAACAGAACAAAACTAAACACAACTTTTATGGTTCCAAAATCTATAGCGATGACAGAAGGAAGGACTGACACACTACTTGGCCGCTTATATTATAGATTATATCTAGATTTAGAAAATAATGAGTTTCTATATACTAAACTATTTTAGACCTTTATTATTTTATATACATCTTTGTTTGTTTAGCTATGGGATTTGCTAATTTGGAAATGCTCGATCTAGGGTGTGACCTACTTAGGTCGTGTATTTTTCCAGTTTGACTTTTATTGCTCAACCATGAGTGACCTGTGGTGTAACCACCGGTACTTTTCCATAGTTCTAAGAAAGACATATCCCCTGTAGTTTTCCGTCACGAATGGTGGTGCAATACTTTGATACTTTCGATTGGTTGATTCGGACATCAGAGTTGTCCCAACCAATATTCTCATGATTTGAAGGTGATCTCCCAGGTTGCCTTAGGTGTCAAATAAGCTGCGCACACGTTTCTGCAGCCAGAGTCCATCGCAGCAGTCCATAGGAGCAGTTAGAGCAGACATCTTTTGAGAGAAAAAGCCTTGAGTGTCGCTATTTTGTAGCCTATAGTTTTAAGCAGCATTTATCCTTTTATTACTTGTGGTTTTAATTAATATTTTGTGCTTTAAGTAGTGTCGTATAAGCTGTGGTGATTTTCTTAAGTGCCATAACCTGTGATAGTGTTTTTTCCTCAAATAGTAAGTTGGGTTTTTGTTATTTAACTCATTCATTTTATTCTGTATAAAGCTAGAGTCTTACCTTGAATTTGTACACATCTTAAAAGTTATATATGGAATAAATGTGTTGTTGCTATCACGAGTTCATCGAGTGTATCCCCTAGACGTTAAGTACGTGTCCTCGTTAACTGTTGTGCTAGCTACCATTTATAGGGCTTTATGCCATCTGTGTATAACCATTGAAAAGAACCCAGGTACGTTCGCCAGCTATCTGGCTGATAGAGTGGTGTTTCGTAATAAAAGTGTGTACTCGTCCCGGATTTAATTTGTTGTACCAGTTTTAGTTTAGACACTAGGTTTAGATCTAGTCAGTTGTCGCTTAGTCCAGTAGAGCTGTGTGTGTACACCGCTCAAGGCTAGAGTTGTCAAGAGGCCAGACGTGTCGTGTCCTAGATTTAGGTCGAGTTCATAGCAGATCCTTGTGCTGTGTTGGCGTAGGGCGGTTGTTTTGATTTTGAAACCTAGAAATAATGGAGGCTTTTTTTTACTGAAACTTACAGTTGAGGAGGTTGAGAAACTCAGTAGGAAGGATTTAATTGGTGTAGTGAAAGAGTTGAATTTAGAATACTCTGTTACTCAAAAGTCACAAGTGCTAAGAGATAAGGTTATAGTACACGTTATCAACGAAAATGTGTTTGAGGAGAGTCTGTTAGCTGATGTGTTACTTCGTGAAGAGAAATCTTTAGAAGAGAAGGAGTTGGCCTTAAAAGATAGAGAGTTAGAGGAGAGGATTGCTTTAGAGAAGGTCTTAAAAGAAAGAGAGTTAGAAGCTAAAGTTGCTCTAGAGAAGGAAAAACTTGCTCTAGAGAAGGCGGAGTTGAAAGCTAAGATAGAGCTAGATAAGAGGAGGTTAGAGTTAGAATTTGGTAAGGTTAGTGGTAATGTGAGTTCTGTAGTAGAACCTGAAAAGTTGTCAGTTGCTCAGGTTATTGCCAATTTCGGTAAATTGGTCCCGAAGTTTAGCGAGGTAGATTTAGTTGTTTTCTTTAACTCCTTTGAGAGTTTAGCTAAATCATGTGAATGGCCCGAAAATGCTCTTACCGCTTTATTAAGCACAGTTCTTATAGGGAAAGCTGCTAGTACATATCAGGCACTCTCTCGAGATGTACACACTAATTATGGGCTGGTCAAAGCTGCCATTTTAAAATCCTACGAGTTAACGCCCTAGGCTTATCGGATGAAATTCCGAAAACTCAGAAAACAGCCCACTCAGTCCTATGTGGAGTTTCTGTTCGAGAAAGAAAAAGTTTTCTCGAGGTGGCTCAACTCAGAAGAAGTCTCAGAGTTTGAAAAACTCAAATCTCTGATCCTGAGAGAAGAATTTCTGAATTCCCTACCCGAAGAGATCCGTCTACATATCATCGATAATAGGATAGTCGACATCAAGAAGGCTGCTGAGTCGGCAGACACATACATGCTTGTTCATAAAAGACCACAAGTGTCAAGTAACCGCCTCAATCCTGTACTCGCCCTTGTTGACAACAGTCTTTCTGCTGGCCAATCTTTGAAGTCGTTCCAGTCAGTAGAGGAGCCCAGAACCACTCCCAGTCGAAGAGCAGTATGCCAATACTGTAAGAAACCTGGACATCTCACAAAGGACTGTTATAAGCGGCATCAAGTCAACAGAGAGGTTGTGCGTACATCTGCGCATAACTCTCTCCCCCATAAGGCAGCCAGTTCAAATTTGAACTCGACTCTTCGGAATGACACTATCCCTAAGTGTCCACAGGAAAAGAATCAAGTTCCCACCACTTATGTTCAGTCAACTTTTGACTGTCCACTCCACCGACCAGTTTCTTCAGAGGCAACCGATCTCGAGGGATCGAGAAAGGTTATCTTCTCATCGTTCCTGGCAGAGGCTGACATTAGCAAACCAGGTGATCCGTTGTCAAAGCGGAACATAAATGTCCTGAGAGACACAGGGGCTTCACATTCACTTCTATTGAAGGGCTCAATGGACATTACACCGGAGACGAACACCGGGAATGTTTCCATTATCCAAGGAGTGGGGTCAGAACCCACTGTAGTCCCTCTGCACAAGTTTAACATGAAACATCATCTCGTCGAAGGAGAGGTCATCCTAGGGGTGATCGAAAGTATCCCTGTACCAGGAGTGCACCTGCTCCTAGGGAACGACTTAGCGGGAAGCAAAGTCTACCCCCACACGGTTCAAAACCCGTTATCAACAGTTCCAGATGATGATAATGAGCTGTATCCTGCATGCGTGGTAACAAGAAGCCAGACCAAACAGTTGGCTGATACAGCGGCTGATCCACCACACGAATCATCACCAACAGGATATCCAGCTGCCAAACTGGAACCCATGCCTCTAGAGGGCCCATTCATGGAATTGCCCTTGAGGATATCTCATGATGACATTGTTAATGCTCAACAAGACGACGCAGAACTCCAATCGGTGATCGAGAAATCCCTCTCGGCTGACGATGGGGAGAATTTCACCGCGAACGACCTGATCTTCCGTCGTGTTTTACCAATGACTGCCTCTCCTGCCGAACCATGGTTGGGAAAAAACCAACTGTGGGTCCCTCCACCTTATCGGCAGGAAATCCTGAAATTGGCCCATGACAACCCGATGTCAGCGCATCCAGGGTCACGAAAACAATGGCGAAGATCAAAGAAATGTATTTTTGGCCAAGAATGAGAAATGATGTGTCGCGTTACTGCAAAAGTTGCACGAATTGTCAGTTGGCCGGGAAGCCCAACCAGAAAATTCCTAAGGTCCCGCTGAATCCGATTCCTGTGTTAGAAGAACCCTTCTCCAAAATCATCATGGACTGCGTTGGCCCTTTGCCAAAAACCAAGGCGGGCAACGAGTACCTACTCACCTTTATCTTTATATGTTCAAGTACCCGTTTTCCCGAAGCGTTCCCCCCTGCGGAACATTAAGGCAAAGACCGTAATCAGAGCCATGACCAGCCACCACTTCCAAGAAGCGCTAGCCAAGCTAGGCATTACACACGTCACCAGCTCAGCATATCACCCTCAGTGTCAAGGTATTCTTGAGAGGTTTCACCAGACCCTAAAAACCATGCTGAGAACTTTCGTTAAAAGTAACACCCAGTGGGATGAGACTGTTCCATGGATTATCTTCGCCGCTAGAGAATGTGTGCAGGAATCTCTAGGTTATTCACCATTTCAGCTTGTGTTCGGTCATTCTGTCCGTGGTCCCCTAAAGCTGATCCACGACCGTTGGACAGGTACCAGTAACCATCCAGTGGAGAACTTTGACGATTTTGCACGCCCGATTGAAAGCCGTGT